TAAGCGTAACAAAAAAGACATAAGTATCACTTTCATGAAATATTCAATGAAAAAAAGTTTTTTTTATGCTTTAAAGATTGAACATAAGATAGAGTGTTTTCAGATTCAAACTATCTTCAAAATATGCAAAAATGCTTTTCTGCAGAATACCTGTCAAAATCCAAATTTATCTTAAATACATTTGGTGTAATAAAAAATTATTGTAGTACATATATAAAAAATATAAAATATAAAAATAAAATTTCGATAAATGATTCGGTTAATGGAAATTCGAATTAGAAATTTCACACGTAAGTGTAGTTAGATTTAAGCTTTAATTGTATTTAGTATGTAAAAATAATGTTAAATATATACGATGAGAAATAAATAAATGTAAGTACTTCAAATTACTTCTCTTAGCATAAAATTTAAGTTAATGTCATAAAAAAGTGTAAAACACTTATATGAATATGAAGAACTTTCCAATATTTTTTCGGCCAATATTGAAAAAAATGTATGTATACGTTTATTCATTATGAATGATATAATTTAAAAAAAAATTTCTATTATTTTAATATCATATAAGTAAACTTTTATGAACATTTTCAATAACATTTGCAACAACAAGAAATCTACTGAACACGATCCTGAAAATGAAAGGAAATTCGATCGGACCCGTTTACTTATATAATTTCTTTAGTGCCATTCATGTTTCGCTTTATACTTGAAAAACATTTTTTTTTATTTTCTTAAAAATTACAATCTGTCTGAATAGAAAGACATTGAGTAATTAGTTTGACAAATAACATATTAAATTTTAAAAGGAAAACCCAATGGTTCACCTTTTATTAGTGTACTAAATTATATTTTAATTTTGATATAATAAAGAAAAAAAAGAAACTCAAATATATATACAATTATAAACAAAGTACATTGCACAGACTACATATACACATACATACACACACGTATTTTAAATAATATGGTAGAACAACTTATTATTATTTAGTTAAATATATTAATTGTATTCTTTTTAATCTTATATTATGTGTGGTGTTGTAAAGACTTGCAATCAGTTTGTTTGGATGGTGGTCAATTTTAGTCTTGAAATTATGGGCACTCTTTTTAATTTCTGCACTGATTGTGAGGTGAATTAGCCATGTCGGTACATACCTTGGCGCGGATATTGCTTGTCTGAGTATGAAAAACATTTGGTGTATATTTTAATCTTTTGTAGTTTTTCTTAAAATTTCTTAAGATTTCTTAAAATTTCTTAAGATTTCTTAAAATTTCTTTCTAGCTCTTCATTTTTTTTATTATAAAACATTCACCCTACCATGCCTCAGTCTAATATTCCAACCGAGCCTTATGTTTGCAGTAATCATTAAGACGGGTGCGAACTGACGCGTTAACGATGTCGTGCGTTAACGAAACGAAACACTAACGTCAAACTAAAGGCGAGATCATATTGCGATGAGAAGGTTTTTTTTTTAATATTGATTTGAAGTAACAGAACTTGTGCTTTATTTCAGCTTATCTTATATCTTTAATTTATTCTTAATTGTTTTTTTTTATTTTTTTATTTTTTAATTATGAATTCTTCAAGTTTTATCACATTTAGTCTATAACCAAGTCAAATAAGTAAGGATCATTTTTAAAAACTTGAATATTGAGATAGGATCAGCAATCCTAGTACTATGCTCTTTTTTGATGATACTACTAAAAATACTCAACGGTTTCTTATCTGTATATAACATATTTTATATTATTTAAATTTTTTAGTAGCAATGCCAGGTATGGTCTATTTTTACTCATGAACACATTTAACGTCTCGTGGGGTATCACAAAAAAATCGAACATGAAAATCGAATGCAAATTTTTACGTTTCAAAGCATTCTAAACATCTTGGCATAACTTATAGATTACATTAGAGAAAATATAAAGTTTATTTGTGTGAGTGTGTGTATGATAATATATACTTAATTTGATGCAGCATTGCCAGGAATGATCTATTTTTACTAGTAAACATATTTAATATCTCGTAGGGTAAGTTTTAGTAATCGCCAAAAAATCGAAAATAAAAATCGATTGCATATCTCTAGGTTTCAAAACATTCTGATCATAAGTTATGATAAATTCTATCATAACTTATAAATCATGTCAGAAAAGATGTACGTATGTGTGTGTGAATATGTGTATGTATTTTACATACACATATTTACACAACTTTTGTCGTCAATTTTTATAACACGAATTTGCCGATTTGAATTATTCAAATAACATTCGATTTCTATTGATGAGGATGCGTGCTGATTAGTTTCTCGCAAAGACAATTCTAGCCTGTTCGAAGATACGTGTAAAAAAGTCAGCTTTCGAGAGAATGAAACATCCAATATGAAAATAATTCAAAACATATTTTACTTGTATTGACGGAACAAATAATTGATAACATTTTTGAAGAAGAGTAGTTCCAGTGGATTCGGAGATTCGGAGAGTGCCATTCGTCGGTCAAAAATTACCATTAGACATATGTAAATCAAAATATCAGATACTATACAAAGATTTTAGTAATATATACAAATTTTGATTGCATGTTTATGGATCGGTACCAAGATTCATAATGTTTAGTAAGCGTTAGACTACGGTTCGGCGTTTTGATATTTTGTTATTAACGGCTACGCAACGCGATTGCTTTGGGAAAAAATTCAAAATTAAGACAAAAATAGAATACAAAATTTTTTTAAAAAAATCAGAAAAGTCCAACATTTAAAAAAAGTTGATTCTTGATTTTTTTTAATTTGCGAAACTTTCTATTTTTTTTTTTCAATTTAAATTACGGTATGAGAAGTACCAATAATTTAATTTAAGGTACGATGGCATGCAAGTTATTCTTAAAATTTTACTTGTTATTCTTTAAGAATGGGTCTAAATATTATTGTATATTAACAATAAAAATTATATATGTTACCGCAAAAAAATATTCGACACAGAGAGTGCATATAAACATTCTAAAATCTAAATAAAAAAAATACAATTTGAAATAATGAGATATGAATATTTACAACATTAAAAATTAGGAAAAAACTGTAGTCATTCCCAAGTGTGAATCATCCTAACATATTACTAACAAGTTCGAAAAGAGGAGAACAAACGCACCCGCCATCGAATGGTGTAAAAAATCACTTAATGAGTTAAGTCACTTACTCGTTACTGGGGGGATTAGGGTGCAGCGCATACTAGACCTCACAACTCGGAGGGGCAACTCGAATCTGACTGACTTATTGATGGTGTGTATCTGCACGTAACTCATGGTTATGTGCCGAGAGCGAGAAATTAATAGTTTCGGTATATAAAGGTGAAGTGCTCATAATTTTTATGTCCAACCCAGGTTTTGATAGTCGTGGTCGTGGTTTATGTGCACGTGATGTGGAATAAACATAACATTTATTGATTTTTACATAATATGAATGTTTAATAATTATATTTATAATAGGTTGTCAAATATCTCCCTTCCGCCTTTTTGTATTATAAACCAAGAGCAAAAAAGCGGAAGGGGGATATTAATATATTCGTTAATTTTATAAACATTTTGCAATGCACGAGATTTTGTCATATATTGTAATAACTTACCGAGAGCAACTATTTAATGATCAATACTCTGAAGAAGGATTGGAAAATATGATATGCATTTGTCATTAAATTATGCCTTATATTTAATTAACTTCCCGTAGGGTTATAGTTATCGTCAAAAATCGAACTTGAAAATGTTTATATACTTTTACATTTCTATAGTTTCTGAACAATTTGGCTTGGGAGGTTGAAAAAACTAATGTACGTGAGTGTGTGTACGTGCGGATACAATTTTTTGTCGACAATTTCAGGAATACGGATCAACCGATTTAAATAATTCTAAAAGCAATTGATTCGTACTAATAAGAAGACGTGCTGATTAGTTTTTGGCAAAGGTAGATCCAGCCGTTTCAATGATACGGGACAAAAAGGTCCAAAAATGGTAATGAACAAAAATGGATTTGAACGATTCTAAAAACATTTCATTGATATTGACAAAATTAAGAACCGAATAAATTTTTGGAATAGCAGATTTAGCGGTTTCAGAGAACCAATAAAAAGTCCAACAAAATTTGGCGGAAAAAATGATCATTAGAGATACACATCACATCAAATTATCAGATATTTTATAAAAAAATTGATAATTATTACATTGGTTTATATTGCTATGGGTTTCGTACCAATGTTCAATCGTTAAACTGCGATGTGGCGCTTACGCGCTTCGATATTTTGTCTCTAAAATAAATACGCAGCGCAATAGGTTTGGAAAAAAATCAAAATATTTAAATTCTATTTTATCGAAGTTTCCAAATGATTTCAAAGATTTAAAAAAACAAAAAAAATGTACTGAAAGTTCCAGCAATTTGCGTTAACGATGCCATTCCAACTGTAAATATTATCGTTCTATTCTAAACACCATATAATTGATAGGTGAAATATGAATTAATATTTTTCAGGTAAATTTTATGTATGCCATAATACAAGGAGTAACAAATATAACAGTACAAATAATAATAATGGTAATGATAATAATGAAGAATAAACTCAACTAATAAATGATTTAAAATTTTCTTATAAGAACTTGTTTGTTCATCATTTTTAGCTTTTTAATTAAAAAGCTATCTCCCTTGCGTATTTTTTCAGAAAGTTGCTAGAAAGTTTCAAAAACTATATCAATACTATTTTCATTCTGAATTCGCATCTGTATTTTATTAAAATAAAAAAATTCCACACATTAATTTAGTGTGTCTGGTTCACTAGAACTATATTTAGGACGTCCTTCCTTCTTATTTCTTTAAGAAGATGTAAATTAACAAAATAACCATTAGTGCTTAATTTACTTATGATTCATAATTCATAATGTACGCTGATTACTATTATACGTACAAGTTTTCAATGAAAAGAAATCACTTATAACTAAAATAAAATTTGATACATATACTTGTTCTCACCTCAGACTGCATAGATGTCAGCATTTCTTCGCGAAATTGCAGAGTCAGTTTTTTCACACACACACACACACACTTCGTTTTACGCGAAATTATGCAAAATTGATTTAATTGGCACTTTTGTTTTAACAATTAATTAATTTACGCGAATGTTATCACTTACTACACTCACTTTTATTTTAAAAAATATTTTATTAGACTGAAAAAAATTTGTGGATTAGTGGAGGGTACGGTCACAATTTTATCCACACTACAAAAATATAAATAAATATTAATTATATAATCATTTGACAATTTCCTAACTATACCCTAGTTTACGGTTAAACCTCTCTATTGGACAAAATTATCGATTACATTCTATTTGATACAATTTATTAATAACTTTGCAAAAAGGTTTTAAGACTCAACGAGACGTGTGACCGTACCCTTAGAAATCATGCCTAAGAATGAAATTGCACTGACCTTTGTTTAAAATCACCGATTCTTCTGGAACATCCCGATTACCAATTTGTTGTCTGAAGAATAAAGAAAACAAAAGATAAATTTTCAGTATATTATGAAATATTTATTTAAGCTAAAAGAGGACTGTGCATTACCTCGTGATTTTCAGAAGAGAGCTGGTCAGGAACCAGGAACCAGGAACCAGGAACCACGAACCGGGAACCAGGAACAAGGCACTACCACTGCACTAAAACACTATAAAGGCCTTTATAAAACACTGCACAGACACTAAAATTACGATAAACTAATTCGCATTGAAAAATTTCTAAAAAAATCGAGAAACACGAATACTACGAGTCTACACTTGGCAAATTATTTGACCAGAAGGGAATATTTGGCTTTTAAAAATAGTGTTCATAACTAATGTATCTTCAACGGATTTTATATTGAAGTTCTTCTCATCAACAAAATTATCATCATAGATATTTACTTTTTCTTTAGCATCTCCACTTTTATCTTTATAAAGCCTGGTATATTTTGACTAAATAGAAGAATAAAATGTCCAGTCTGGTATCATAGTCTTCCAACCGACACTTGGAATCTTATCAGATATAATAAACTAATGTCAACGAAGAGGTAGTTTTCATTGCAAATTTCCATCTAAATCGGTTATCTGGTTTGAAATGCCAAAATAGAAACACATATATTAAATGTAATAGTTAAAAGGTCCATTGTTTTGAAGATTTATTAATTGGTTCAGTTTTCGTGGTCAAACTTATGTGCGAAATATTGCACAACACTGTTAACACTAACAAAACACATTTTTAGTCCGCAAATAAATCCAAAAAGTCCAATAACATTTATTAATTAATCACTACTTTAATACTCTTTAATAGTCGCTTCTTTTGTATGGTACCATCGATGTCTTTGGATTTTGTGCACTTTTTATGAAATTAAATTGAATATTTGCTTTAGTGAGTTTGTCAATTTACTTCTGAAATATTTATTGATGAATGACTTCTGTTCTCTGGATTGGATTTCTGAAAAATAAATGAAATATAATTAATAAAATATATTTTATCAAATATGTTATTAGTATAATATATAAATATATAAATCAATATGTATTGAAAATCATATACTTTTGAATAATTCACAAAGGGAATACAAAATGCTATAGCAATTTTCCATTGGCAAGTGACAAATGAAGCCATTCATATAAATACCTTCAAGTATATCTTTGCTTAATTATAAAGGTGTCCATATTAGACTCTCATTTGGTAATAACTTTGTTACAAAAATGTTTTTTTTTTTAAATTTTCTTTTTGAATATTTTCATTTATGTTTTACTTATTGTTCCTAGACAGTATTTGATATACTAATTTTTAATATACATGTCGATTCAGATGGTTGCACAATATTAGCACGTCATGAGCACGTCTTAGTCGTGCACCTGTACGTGCAGATATATTAGCACGAATCTGATTGGACGATTTAGCACTAGGTGGGCGAATCTATTATTTTTGATAAGGGGAGGTCACATAGATTTGATCACAAGGTCATAAAAAGGTCACACAAATTGTATGAAATTAACAGTTATTCAGACTTTTGTAACACATTTGAAGGAATGTCAAAGAGGATGGACGAAACCAATATTTGCGCCTTAGGGGAGGCCATATCATAATATTTTAAATTTATATGAAGAAATTGCATGAATTTCACTATTAATCAGATTTTTGTAACTTGTAACTTGATGGAATTCCAAGAAGGACGAAACCCCTATTTGCGCATAAGAGGAGGTCTTCTCATAATATATAAAATATATATCAAGAATTATTTGCATTTTCCATTCAATTAATCTTCTATAACTAATTAGATGGAAATACTTAAAGAAGAACAAAACTAACATTTGCACTTAACTTAAGGGTATTATGAAAGACAATTATTCATCATAAATTTTCTCATTAATTATACATAATATAGTAGCTACGCATTTAATTCATATTAACAGTAATTCGATTTATTTTATATATTAAATTATCAATGTAAATTCATACATTTACATTATTTTTATTAGGTGTAAGTGGCATTTTTAAAATTAATAGTTATTCGTTTTATTTTATAGATTAAATTACTAATGTAAATGCATTCATTTACTCACGTAAGTGCATTTTGCCTTAGGGGTAATTGCATGAACTTGTAAATAATCGGCTTAATCAATGATTAATATTATATTAATTTATGAGTAGGAGAGACTACTGGGTATGATTGTGTCATTTTTTTGGTCAGCAATAATTTTGTTAATTTACCTATTAGTTATTTAAGTTAAAATTTTGTTATTTTGTCTATTTAGCTGAAAGCAAAGACTTAAGGCAAATTGCTGGAACTTCCCGTACCAAAGATATTTTCTTGAAGAAGATTGATTTTTTTTTAAACATTGATAAAAATAGATTTTTGAGAAATTTTAAATTTTGAAAAAAATGTTTTTTTTTTTAAAAAAAAAAATGAAAAAAATGGTTTCTTCATTTTGAAATATTTTTGGAAACTTTCAAAGCAATCGTACTACTTTAGCTGCGTAAAGACGAAATATCAAAGCGCGTAAGCGCCATGTCGCCGTCTAACAGACAAACAATGTTAAGGAACCCATAGAAATGTAAACAAAATTTATACGTACTGTTAAAATCGCCATAAAACATCAATAATTTGATGTGCTATGTCCAATGATCATTATTAACAGCCAAAATGGCAGTTTTTTACGTTATTTTACTGGATCACCAAAACTGCTAAACCTGCCTTCCCAAAAATTTAGTCCGTTATTCATCTTGTCAATACAAGTAAAATGTTTTTGAATCATTAAAATCGGACGCTCCGTTCTCACAAAAACTGAATTACCGTTTTTGGCACTATTTGCCGCGTATCTTCGAAACGGCTAGATCTGCCTTTGCCAAAAACTAATCCGCATGTCTCCTTATTAATAGGAATCGAATAGAAAAATCGAATGTTTTTTGAATAATTGAAATCGGTTAACCGAAACCGTGTTCCCGAAATCGTCGACGAAAATTTGTATCCGCACACACACACACATACACGCACACATACATCCATTTTTTTAAAGTATGCAAAAATGTTCAGAATCCTTTAAAACGCAAAGATATATGAAAAAAAAATGAATTTTATTTTTTGCGATTACTTTAACTTACCCTTCGGAAAGTTAAAAATTGCGAAAAAGATAAGAAATAGGACCATAAAAGCAATCGTTCCACTTATAAAACATTTGAATTAATTCTAGATTCTATATTTTGTAGCAATTTCTAAAACTTCATTGTTTGAAAAATATAATACCCTATATCAAAGTACTAAGAACGTAATGGAAAAATGTCAGATTTAAGACCCTTCGCATGTGATATATAGTATATATTGAAACTATTTATTTGTAAGGTGCCATTTGTATCATGTGGTGTACATACACATATCGGTAGGGCGTTGAAAGTTCCTTAGAAGGGTCCATAAATGAGTCATCATTTGTAAAACAGACGGGAAATGACCACGCAGAGATGTAGGGTCTTGAAAGCATAGTGCATATATCAGTTACCGAAATACAAGGTCCAATATATCAGTACCGAAGGACATGTAATATTCAAGTAGTGAAGTAACTGGTGACGAAAACTTGCCGAAAATACTTTAGTCGAGATGCATTATGTAAAGAAAATATTACAAAATTGGAATACTCAGACAATGTAGCATAGCAATTACCTTTATTTATTAATAAAATTTTGTTATCTTATTTGAAATTTACTAAATTGGAATGAGATTTGAAGAAAAATTACTGGACTATACTACTTTATGGTGTGTGTGCGTGTGTATAGTGTGTATGCATACATTATCGGAAATTCATAAAATTAAGTAAGTTGTAAGTGCAGTTAAATAAGCACATTGAAATTTATAATCCGCATGTGAAAATAGTTTAGAGTCTTTATAAATCAAAATTTTTAGAAATTTCTAAACAGTTAATTTTTTTATAAAAATCTTGAAACATTTTTTTTGTGGTATGAATTTATTCATTGTCAATCAAAATATGTATTGAAAAATGATGTATATATAGATTGACAAATATATGCACACAAAAAAGTGTTTACAGTTGAAAAATTGTTAACTGTTTAAAAACTTTTTTATACTTATTAACATATTAGAAATGTTTAAAAATTCAAAATTTTTTGAAATTAAGACTTTCCAATACTTTAATTGTTTTGTACTCATTCGATAATAAAGTTATTACATTCACCAATAATTTAATGAGCCTATAAAATATAGTATCGCTGAAAACAATTTAAAGAAATAATTTGATATTAAAAATCGCCATTTTCGAAATCAATTTCCTAAACAGAACCTAACTAGAAATGGTTATTGAGAGTAAATTGCGTATTACTTCAATGTAAATCTTATATATTTTAAAACATTTCATTATATAAGGTTGTCAAATATCTCCCTTCCGCCTTTTTGTATTATAAACCAAGAGCAAAAAAGCGGATATTTGACAACCTAATATATATTGAATAATATATATAAAACTTATATATTTTAAAAAATTTATAGATTATAAAGGTCAGTATTAAATTTATGAGAGAATAATGATATAAAG